TTTTGGTGGTGRCTTAGGTTTCCTAAAAATACAAATGCAATACAATCACTATACGGTTTAGCGTCCGAGGACAATGGTGTAGATTTTAAAGTCGTACATCGAAACATGCGGTGAAGTGAAGTGAAGCTGCTTGCGGTACAGTTGACAAAGACTGCAAAGTCTTACCCCCCTTGTGTCTGATACACAGCTTTTGATCAAGGTTGTGTATATGGACCGTGGTTTAGGTCCTTCTGATCATCTACGACACACCTCAAACTGACTATCCCTCAAACTAGTTTGAATTCGAACTGGAGCCCAAATTTTACTTTGGAAGTACAATTAAAGTTTATCAAGAAAACTAAATGTGATTTCATGTGCATTTTAGAAAAAAATATTAAAAATTGATGAATTATGGGATCCATTGGGGACAGGAGACTCCGATCCTGTCTCCTGGGTCCGGTTTTTATAGATACCTGTTGCATATTGACACAACTACATGTAGCTAGCTAATGCACTAGTAAATTGAAAACCCCGACCCCCGACCCCCAGGGCTAGCGGGGACGTGACGCGTTTTTAACAGCAAGATTGCCCCGCGGGTAGGGATTTTGATGAATTATTTTAGAAGAGGGGCAAAGAGCGKGTTTGAACATGTATGAGGCTGGCAACTTCCTTTGAATGAAAAATTTTTAAAAGAAACTTATTACACATGTTTTTCTCCGTCCAGTTAGCCTCATGCAGTACGCAAATGAGTACACAGGATTGAGCAAAAACTAACCCTGTGTATATCACAGAACATTTGATTGAAAGGTGTTTGTTTTGTTATCACTACTAACAAAATAGCGGGGCAACAGTAGCAGGGATTTTAACAATGAATGTGCCCCCGACTACCGGGGAAAATGTCTTATGTTAACACCAGTCAAACGTTAAATTCCCCGGTATTCCCCGGGGGTTTCAATTGACTAGTGCATATCAGTCCTGTGATCCTTTCCAAGACTATCGATTCACATAAAATCGAAGAAAAGAGTTCAAGTTAAAACAAGATATAGCCCTAAGATGTTGATTGGTGCCGACATGAACTATGACGACGAAAGATAGAGAATGATCAACCAACAATTCCAGTTAATAAAGCACGCGAATACTGGTGTCCAATACTAGTCGGACCACCACTTGGAACTCAAAATACTTGATACGCTTCCTTCAGATATAAAGAAATGCACTTCCTTTTTTTAAAAATAAAGTAAAGCCGTTGCTGCGCTGCAATCATAATGAACGGGAAGACCGTTGATGTGGTTAGAACATGCTAGATTAAGACTTTATAAGTATCCACCTATATAAGTATCCACCTAGACTTTCACAAAGTCCCTTTTAGCCCCCTGGCACAAGGTCCGCGCTCCCTTTTTTTCTCGAGCTTCGCGCTCGGAGTTCTATTCTTTCTGTTTCTGAGTCCAAAGAGAGTCCGACTTGGTCTAGTATCCACCTACAGACATGCGTCCTTTCACAATCACAATCAGAGTTTTATCAGATAAACTTGTTCAAAATAGCATTGCGTTGATCGAAGGAGAGTG